GTTTCTCAATGTCTGCCGATGAGGAGACTAAAAAGTTTTCAGGAATTGATGTGTGACTCAGGTTTGACATTGGTACCAGCATGAAGATGAAGTTGTTTTTTTTTTTTTTTTATGATGGGTGTCAGTTTTGTTTGTTTGTTTGGTTTTTTTTTTTTTTTTTATATATATATATATTTTTTAACCCCCTCTTGAGGCAGGGTTTTTTTCTGTGGTGTAGCCTTGGCTGCCCTGGAACTCACTTTGTAGACCAAGTCAGCCTCTGCCTCCCCAATGTTGTTTAACCGGTACGTCACCACCACCCAGTGAGGGTGAATTTTTATTACTTAAGTTTTATTGTGAAATTTGTACCTGTGCTATGGAGTGGAAAGGATGATTGTGGAGATCTTGTTGCTAACATTGGGTTTTCTTAATAATAAATTATTTTGAGCATGACTTCCTAATTTGTGGTTGAACTTGGGATCTGAAGTGCCCAGCCAGGCATGCATTGGTATATGAATGCCTACACAAGTCCCTGACTTCCGCTTGTACTTTTTATTCCTATTTCAGGTGGAGCTGGAGGCAGTGTCCCTGGGATCGAGAGGATGGGCCCTGGCATTGACCGCATTGGCGGTGCTGGCATGGAGCGCATGGGCGCAGGCCTAGGCCATGGCATGGATCGAGTGGGCTCTGAGATTGAGCGTATGGGCCTGGTCATGGACCGCATGGGCTCAGTTGAGCGCATGGGCTCTGGCATTGAGCGCATGGGCCCGCTAGGTCTTGACCACATGGCCTCCAGTATTGAGCGCATGGGTCAGACCATGGAGCGCATTGGCTCTGGCGTGGAGCGCATGGGTGCCGGCATGGGCTTTGGCCTGGAGCGAATGGCCGCTCCCATTGACCGAGTGGGCCAGACCATTGAGCGTATGGGCTCTGGTGTCGAGCGCATGGGCCCAGCCATTGAGCGTATGGGCCTGAGCATGGATCGCATGGTGCCCACAGGCATGGGGGCCGGCCTGGAGCGCATGGGCCCTGTGATGGATCGAATGGCCACCGGCCTGGAGCGCATGGGCGCCAACAACCTGGAGCGCATGGGCCTGGAGCGCATGGGAGCCAACAGTTTGGAGCGTATGGGCCTGGAGCGAATGGGCGCCAACAGCCTGGAGCGAATGGGCCCTGCCATGGGCCCGGCATTGGGCGCTGGCATTGAGCGAATGGGCCTGGCCATGGGTGGCGCTGGAGGTGCTAGCTTTGACCGAGCCATTGAGATGGAGCGGGGCAACTTTGGAGGAAGCTTCGCAGGTTCCTTTGGCGGAGCTGGAGGCCATGCACCTGGAGTAGCCAGGAAGGCTTGCCAGATATTTGTGAGAAATGTAAGTGGTTCTTCAGGAGCTCCTCAGTGTTGTTGTGAATGAATGGTGGGGAGATCAGTGGGCTGAGGGTGTAAGTCTGCTTAAGGGAGAACCGGGTAGCGTGGGGAATATAACTTGTCCATCCCCAAAACTGAACTGGAGGTTGAGGGTTTACAGAAGAAATAGTCCCAGGGCCTGGCATGGTGGCCCATTCTTTTAATTCTGGAGATTAAGGTTAGGTGGCTCTCTGTGAGATCCAGGTTAACTAGAGCTGCCAAGTGAGACCCTGTCTCTAAAACACAAAGAAACAAAATTATAGTAGTATGGCATTTGCCTAGGATGTGTGGGTCAGTAGAGTAGACTGGGCTCTAAAGGTTTGTGGTTTCTGATTCCCTTGGCTTGAGGGACTCTTTAGTCTTGGCACAGTGATTCAGAGAAAAGTGGTTGTGATAGAATTACATTTTGTCACTGGATTGTGGGTTGCCCACTTAGCTCTTAGGATATACCCATAAGCTAGAGATTTGTTTTCTTCTCTGCTGATTTTCATAAAGAAGTCAGCCTGCCTCTCTGTGATGAGAAGTGGAGATTGTTTTGGAATTGGGGGTACTACTGGGGATGGATCCTGGCCTTTACCCCATTGGCAGTGCTGGCATGGAGCACATGGGTGCTCTAGGGTTATACACATACTAGGCAAATCACCCTGTACCTAAGCTACACCCCCAGCCCGTGGAAACCTTCAAATCATAATCTTGTATCTATTGCGATGTCTGTACACTGAGATTTGGTTGCATCACAGATTAGTCTGCTCTTTTTTCCTCAGCTCCCATTTGATTTTACATGGAAGATGCTAAAAGACAAATTCAACGAATGTGGTAAGTGTCTGTCTGAGAAAGACTGTCCATGTGCATTTCTGTGTTGTGGCTTGTTGGTGATGCTGTTGAGTTGTAGCAGTGAAGCTTCCTTCCTAGCCTTAGCCACTGTCCATGGGCTCTCGAGTGTCCATGGCCTTGCCATTGTTCTGCCTCTGCAGCTATTTAGGCAGGTGTTGGGTGTCCTGGTATGTGTCATGCCATGTGTTCATTTCATCCGTGCTGTTCTTCTCTAGTTAGTTTGTGAGACAGCCTCTCTGTCTCTGCTACAACTTAAGCTGGACTTGAGTTCATGATTCTTTTCCCTCTCAGGCCTTCCATGTTCTGAAACTACAGGCAAATGCCACCACTGTTTTCTCAGTTTCTGAGAGAAGGCAGTATTGTCATCTTTTTACATAAGAGTCAGAAAAGCCATCTTCCTAAAGTCACAGACTTTTAAGAAGCAAAAACAAAAGAAGTAAATCCAAGACAAGTTGCTTTCCCCCATGAAGCCCATAGCTGGTTTAGTTGCCCAGAGTACTCGTATGCTCAGCAGTTGTAGGTCTGGTCTGGGCACACAGTATAGACTGAAAGTCTCTGGATTCATAGGCACACCTAGGCAACCTTTCTGGAAAGCTTCCTTGGTGACCATGATGCAGTCTTCCCTTACCATTGCATGTTCTCAGTTAAAAGCTCAATCAGAACACCTGTTTCTTGTTTCCTCATTCAGAAATGGCTCAGCATTCAGAAGTAGTGCTTTCCCCTGGTTCTTTATTATAAGCTGTAGAGTCAAAGCCCACCTTCTTGTCTGGTTCTTTGATTCTCTCCATTGCAAATTTCACATCAGTCATTATTATAACTAGATATTCCAAAAGCTCAGATTGGAATGTGCCACTCTCCCCACCTCTGAAAAAATGCAAACTCAAAATCTTCCTGAAACTTATCTCCTTACTGCCCTTGAACTTGCCAGAAGATTACCTTCCCTTTTCCCTACTTTTTTGTCCTTCCCTTTTTTCCTTTTTGAGACTAGGATCCAACAACTAGCCCAAGTTGACTGCAAAGTCATTATGTAGCCAAGAATGATCTTGAACTCTGAGGGTTTTGGTTTTGATTGGTTTGTTTGTCCTTTTTTGTTTTGCTTTGCTTTTGTTATTGTTGTTGTTTTAACATTGGGTCTCTTGAACATCGTGGCCCTTAAATTTACTATTGTATAGCCTAAAATAACCTTGAACTTCTAACTCCTGAATGCTGGGATTACAGGGGTATGCCTCTGTGCCTGGTTTGTATAAGTGCTAGGACTCAAACCCAGCTTTTTGTGCATGCTAAACAAGCACTGTATACACTGAGCTACATTCTCAGTGACTTTGAACTCTTGATTTTCCTACCTCCACTTCCCAAGGGCTGGGATTCCAGGTGAGCTACCTTTCTCTTTTCCTTTCTGTCTTCCCTCCTTTAGTTCTGTCTTGCCATTCCCTTCTTTTGAGCCTGGGTCTTGCCATGTAGCTCCAGTCTGGCCTAGAATTCAAAATCTTGCTTTAACCTCTCAAGTGCTGGGTTGCAGATGTGTACCATTGTGTCCTGCTTTGGCAGGCATGTTTTCTGATGAAATTGGTCATTAATATCTTTCAGAACTTTATCATGAGTAGCCACTGGAGTGTCATCTCTCCCCAAGCCATTATTATTATTAGCACAAGAATTATGAGCCATAACACAGCACCAATGTATCTTTGACTTCTGCTCTGTTATAGACCCATTTCTTTTGTACTTGACACATACCTGGGTACTTAATAACCTGGATGCTTAATAGGTCTATGAATAGATATGTGTAAGCTACTCACTAGGTATACCTGGCTTACATAGGGCAGTATAGAAGTATCATACTGGCAGTGGCCTTGTGACCAGATAGTAGTATTCAACAATCAAGCCTCTAGAATTCTAATCAAAAGTTGGCTCCACATAGGCCCCTCTTCGTGTAACTTGCTGGAGCAGAAAGATGAACATTTGAAGCTGCTTGGCAAGTTCTTCACAGCCAGGTTAGGCTGTTGTCCTGCTTGGAGAACAATGGCAATAGAGTGGAAAGGGCTGTAGTTGCTGGCGCCATACGTGGTGTTCTGAGCATTCGCTTCATGCGCAAGGGCCTCTCTCCTTTTTGACTCTGTCACCGAAATCCAACAGGTGATCTGGACTGAGTGGAGCCCAGACTGAGGCTGAGCTCTGGGTTTGCCTGATGCGTGTGGTCTCTTCTTCCCTCCCTGTGCCAGGCCACGTGCTGTACGCCGACATCAAGATGGAGAACGGAAAGTCCAAGGGGTGCGGTGTGGTTAAGTTTGAATCTCCAGAGGTGGCTGAGAGAGCCTGCCGGATGATGAATGGCATGAAGCTGAGTGGCCGAGAGATTGATGTTCGAATCGATAGAAATGCTTAAGCAGTTGCCTTTTTTAAACATCAATACCAGACCTCTGAATTTGTATTTTTTCTTGTTAACCATTTTAATTTGTTGGCTGGATGTATAAAGATGTTTAAAAAATTCAGTTGCTTTTTGGGGTGATCTGAATTAATATTTTAATGATTGGGGTTCCATTTGACTGTTTGCATTGAGATTGCAATGTGCGCAATTTTTTTTGTAGTTGTGGCATCTTGTTGACATCAAATATGACTTTGATAATAAATACCAGTTCCTGAAAGCGGCTTGCTTTTTTGTGTGTGTGTATGTTGTAGAGGTGGCCATCTGAGTTCTGCGAGACTGGAGCAGCTTGTACTTCCTTCCTGGGAGCTGTGACCTCCAGGGATCTCACCCATTTGTTGTTGTCTGTGGACCCCACTGTTTGGAGAGCATACCCTAGTTATAGTAGGAACACTAGTACAGATCCAAGATCTTCCCCGGAGTGATAATAACAATCCCGAAAATCATCCTGTGCTTTATCTGGGAGTCCCAGACACTGAGTGAAGCTCACTTCAACTTAGCTTTTCTTTGTTCAAGACCACTAAGAATGTCACTGTTTGGGAAATACTTCAGCTGATGTCCTGTTAGACAGGAGTTCTACCAGTGAAGGGCTGTTATAGACTCACTTGGCAACGCAAATGCCTGAAACCTACAAGGAATTTTGGGATACAGCTACTGGTCATCTAGGATATGTATGGGTGCGTCTTCAGCAGCTCCTTTCCTATTGGGTGGGCAATTGATTTTTTTGTTTGTTTGTTTGTTTCACCTTTGGTCCCTTGCATGTGCCTGTGTTCTGCTGTGTGTTCTAGTCAGTAAGAAGAGGACAAGAAACAAGAATGTTTTAAAGAGGGGTTTTATGTGGGCATGTTGGGTTTGCCATGCTGGGATCCAGGGCTCCTGTGTGAGCAGTGGCTGGGCTGGTGGTTCTGGAACCCACCTGTCTGTCTGCTTACTGTCCCTGAGGAAATGGTTGGTTGTCCAGAGGGTCTGCAAAGAAGGATGAATTCAAGTGATCCTGTGCCACAGAGGCATCATAGCAAGTATCCCCATGGGAGTCACTGTACATACCCCAAAAGCTGACATCATCGTATACTTCTGTTTCCCTGGCAGAGAGCACAATATTGTCAATAAGAGCCAACCTTGGTGTTCCCCATTCTACCCAGGCAGGACCAGTACTTACAAGGGCAACAGTGCAGTTCTGGGTACGTAGCCATCTGCAGGGGAGAGCAGATAGAATGGATTCTCAGCCTTAGCACTCTCACTCCTTTCCCTAGATGTGGGCCAAACACACTTACACTTGCCCTTGGGGTCCCGGCACAGCATCTCATCCTTGTTAGTAAACTCGATCACCTCCAGGATTTCTCCGCGCCGGATACCCAGGTGCTTGCCACCCCCACGCCGGGTCTTGGCATTGGGGTCAATCATCATCTTTGTTTGAATCACAATCTCGCCTTCAAACTTGGGGAACATCATGTTAAAATGTTAGACTTTCTGTATCTGCTGTTACCTTGGTTTCTTCCCCAGGATGGAAATCAAGGGCCTTGGGTACCAGTCATCCCAGGACTCATTCTTCACTCCATGTTCTCACCTTGAACTTCTTTCTAAACTCTCTCTCAGCTTTCTCTGCCTTCCTGATCTGTTTCAGCAGCTTGGGGTCTGTGGGTGGCAGCTGCTGTAGTTGAGTAGCATTCTTCCTAGAAGTCCCAGACATTGGAGTAAGAAGTATCCTCTACTACTAGAGTCCCAGATCTCAGCCCAAATCACATCATTTGCCCCATGTACCTGAGCTCTGCGTCCTGCTGAGGCCATCTGGTGACTTGCTGGGTAGTCTGCATTTCATCTGAGGGCATTGGACAGAGTCAGGACAAAGGTCCCTAGTTCTTTCTACCCTAGTGACTTGATGGGTTGAGTCTGCTCTCTGGATCCTCAGGGCTTCCCTGAATTGACCACTCCTGTACTTTTCTTAGGGTTTATCAGTCCTTGTGGGTAAGGTTCATTTTGGTGAGGAAAATAAAGGCTGAGAAGTTGACTAACTGTCTAAAATTGTAGAGATGGGATGGATTTGTAGGCCTTTGTGTTTGGATTTTGTTCTCACTATCTAGACCAGGCTGTCCTAGATCTATCTGCCTCTGTTTCCCTGAGTGCTAGTATTAAAAGCTGTGGCCACCATGATCAGCCCGTAAGTCGTAGACTTTGGGAGCCATTTTTCTTCTACCTCCCAGAATATGTTGGGAGTTGTAATAAGATTTTGGATTCAGAACTAAAAACAAGTAATTCCATTGTAGCCATCGATAGCTTGCCTCTAAGGAGGAGCAACCAGAGTGGAGTTTTTTGGTTGGTTGGTTGGTCTTTTAAAGACAGGGCTTTTCTGTGTATACTTGGCTGTCCTGGAATCCACTCTGTAGACCAGGCTGGTCTACAGCCTTCCTTTGCATTGGAAGGCCTGCACCACCACCACATCCCTGAGGTGGAGTTCTTAGCCAGAACCTTCTGCTGCTTGAGACTGAATGATAGGGTTTCCCCAAGGGTTTACTTGTATCACTTCCCAGCAATAGGACAGGCTTCGAGAATGAGACCAACTGTTGGCTGGAGGCTTGGGTGACAGCCTCTTCAAGATCAGGGTTAGTGAGGATCTGAATCAGAGGTCCCATTTTGTTGATAACCCAAATGTCACTTTTGACCAACTGTCCTTTCTGATTATAGCCCACAGAGGGGTGTCTGAATCAGCGCTGAGCTTGAGTTCTACTCTGTAAGCAGAGATCTGGGTCCTACTCAGAACCTGTGCTGCCTCAGCCTTGAATGATCTTACAGCTAGAAGCTGGAGTTACAGGTGTACTATGACAATACTGGGCTCTCTGGTTCTGGGTCATCCTGCAGCTTGTTCTGAGCAGGGCTGAACCCTGCCCCTCCAGGTGAGTTCCCAATTGACAAAAGATGTAGAGGGGCTGCTGTGTTTCAAAGGAACCAAAGAATAGGTGGTCCGAAGGCCACTCTGGTATTAGAAAGATCACTCAGAGATACTCAAAACAGACTTGGAGAGGCTCTGTGCCACAGGAAGGCTCACACATTGCTCTGAACGGAGAAATTCAGGGGTCTGATATTTGATCATGATCTTGAACAGTGACCCCTCCCCCAACTATAGAGCGTCCCCTCCACAGAAGCACTGTGGGCGTTCTCTTGATGAACCAGGAGAAGCAAACAAAAAGGGCCCAGAAAGGAGCAAGGGCTGGAGAATTTGAAAGCATCTGTCTTTTATCAGGACCTCCAGCTGGAACAGTGAGAGCAAGCCAAGGCCAAAAGACCCTCCTAGGAGCCCTAGTAAGCTAGTAAAACAGGGAATAGCAGGGGGTGGGGGGGCATTTAGCTGGAATCCCCACAGCTCTAAATCAACTGGCTAGTCTCAGATCCTTGAACTTCCTCATTGGCAATGGGGTAACTCCCTTGGCTACAAAATCATCAAAGCTTTATATAAAACCCCATGCTGTTGCCATTGAGACACCAATCGTGGAGCCCCTCAGACTGACTTAGAAGAAAGGAAAACCTGCTACTGCGTGTATACATCTTGCTGGGACATTCTCTTGGGATGAACTGCAAGGAACCTGGTGGGTGGCATTTGCTTTGGTTTTGTTTGCAGGATCTCATCCAGGCTGGTCTTGGTTGCTGAGTAGCCAAGGCAGATCATCCTGCTGCCTAAATGCTGGAGTTATAGGTGTACATTTGGAACCTGATCCATGATCCTGCCATGACTCCTCTGCACAAGTGCTAGGTTATATGAAAGGAGCATGCCACTCCTTCCCTGCCTGATACGCCATCTTGTCTGGTTTGCCAGCTGTGGTTTCTGTGATTCTTCCATTGTTGTCCAGGCCTCTTGTCACATGCTTCTACCTACAGAAAGCCTGGCTCCTTGGCTCTGGGCTTCCCCTTCCTTACCATCTGGCCCACCAGCATCCAGTCTGTTCTGGATCACTTTGTGTTCTTAAACTTGGATCATGCGAGCATGTCTTTGTAACTAATGTTTCATGGGTACCCAAGCCAACCACCTAGACCACCTACAAACCTCTGCCTCTCGGGCTGAGACTAGAGTCACTTGTGGCTTCCACAGCATCATACAGCTCATAGATCTCGTCCGGGTTCCTGCAGGGATACCTGAGATGAGGGCCTCCTTTAGCCTTATACCCATGCCTGGCCCCTTTCTCCCAATACTCACTGCAGGGTCTGTTGAGGTTCGGCTGGGAAGTGGGTCTTCAGTACAGCTGTGGAAGAGAGAGGACGGGAAGGAAGTGCTCTACCCAGATATTTCACCCCTCCTCTGCCTGAACTACCTACTCTAACTCACCTGTGGCCGTTGCCGAGGCTCTCCGGAAGCTTTGGATATTGATGGGGACAGGTGGTAATGGGGGCTTGGCTGGAGGAGATCCCAGGCTGCTGGCTGAAGGCAAAGGCCTTCGCTGGGGCGGGTGCTGGACTTGGAAGTCTTCTGATCTCCAATTGGGTGTCCGAGAGACTCCATACCCAGGGCTGAGGGGGAACTGGGGGCTAGAACCCTCAAAGGCAGAAGGCAGGGAGCACTCAGATACTGAACCAGGAAGTTTGGGCTTTCCGGGCAGACCCTTAGGAAAGTCAGGCTGGAAGAACTTGCCATGTTGAGGCTTCAGAAACTTCCTGGGGAGTGAGCTGAACTCAGGCTCCGAGGATGTTCTAGGGAGATGACCCAGTTCCTGCTGCGAAGGCTTCTTAGAAAGCACTTTGGGGGCTGGCTGCTGAGGCTTCTTGGGAAATTTGCTTTCGGGCTCCGAGGATGTCCTGGTAAGGTCACTTAGCTGGAGCTGTGGATGATTCTTGGGCAATGCATGGACATCTGGTTGCAGGGAGTGAGATGGGGGATTATATGACTCAGGCTTCCAGGGAGCTGTCTGGGGGACCTCATAGGACATGGGCTGCTGTGGATACTTTGTGCAACCAGTGGCCTGAAGAGATGGAGATTTCTTGAAATTCTCATTGAGCTCAGACTGCAGGGACTTCTTGGGAAAGGTACTGACTTCAGGCTCTGGCGAGTGGCGGTAAAACTCACTGGACCTAGGCTTGGATGTCTGAGGAACTTCGCTGGACTCTACCTGTGTCAGGGACTTCCTAGAGGAACCAGTAGCCTGAGACTGCAGTGGCTTCATGGGCAAGGACTTCAGAGGGGCCTCACTGGATTCAGGCTGACAGAACTTCTTGGGAAATGTGGTAGGTTTGAGCTCTACTGGGGGCCTGGCAGGATTGCTGAGCTCAGATTTCAGGGGCTTTTGGGTAGAACTACTAGGTTCCTGGGGTTCCCCAAGCTGTGGAGACTTGGTGAGTTCACCAAACTCTAGTTTTGGAAGCTTCTTGGGGAGATTAGTGAACTCAGGCAGTGAGGGCTTAGGGAAGCTGGCAAACTGGGGCTGTGGGGGCTTCTTGGAATCTGTGAACTCTGGATGTGGAGGCTTCCTTGGGAAATCTTTGAGTTCAGGCCGTGGTGACTTTCTGAGACCCTCTGACTGTGAGGTCTTCTTGGGGATGTCCGTAAACTGCAGCTGCAGGGGTTTCAGGGACACTGTGCTGAGCTCAGACTGTGAGGCCTTCTTGGGCTGCTCACTTAACTCAGTCTGTGGAAACTTCTTCAGGAGTTTGTTGAACTCAGGCTTTATGGGTTTTCTGGATGGTTCTCCAGGCTCTTGAGAGGCCTGGAACTTAGCTTGGAGATTTCGGAAGTCTTGATTGCTTCCCTAAGAAGACAGATTATTCAGGAAGAGTCTCGTACAAGAAAGCAGATGGAGAAATAACTAGGTACCTCCAGATACAGTTGGTCATAGACACACAAACCCATCACCCTCCCTTTCCCTTTGGCTCCCATTCTACCATTGCTTCTTCCTCAACCTCAGCTCTACCTCAGCCAGCTTCTCTTTTTGGGTAAGAACTATTCCTCAGGTTCCCGGAAGCCACACACCCCTGACTCCTCCACCCAAGCTGGGTCAAACCTCATCTCTAACAGGACCTAGCTCCTGATGCCTCTACTAGCCCATGACTCCCACACGGTACTTCCCGTCAGTGAAGTACTTCCCAATATCTTCAGCCTTTGCGCCTTCTGCTCCCATTTGGTTCCCTCTTTGCCCCCTGCCTGACCACCAGGTTCTCCCGAGCCTGTTTTGTTCCGATTTCAAAATACATCCGGGCCTGGCGGTGGCGGCACACGCCTTTAATCCCAGCACTCAGGAGGCAGAGACAGGCGGATCTCTGGGAGTTCGAGGTCAGCCTGGTCTACAAGAGCTAGTTCCGGGACAGGCTCCAAAGATACAGAGAAACCCTGTCTCGAAAAACAAAAACAAAAACAAAAAAAAAAAAAATGTGGAATCCAACCACTTGTCACTGTCACCCCAGCTGGAGGAGCTGTCCCCACAGCCCTGAGTACTGCAATGGGCTCATCCCAGGTCTGCTGCTCTAAAGGAGGCCTGCTGAATCTCTGTTCCCAACCTCTCAGCAAAAAACTTCCCCCCATCTCATAGCTTCTGTCATGTTTGTCTCCTACACGGGTCTGTCCTCTTCTTCCTCCATGTCTTTGTGACAATACTCCTTAAGGAGACAACCCTATTTTAAATCAATTTCCCTTGCCCAGTTGTCCACCTTTACTGCCCTTCCTAACTGTTCTCTTTATATCTCCCATCACCTATCAAATTCTTTATATTAGTTCTGCTGTAATGTCTTTATACCAGGTTGTTTTGGGGTTTTGTATTTTTGTAGTGTTGGGATGGAGCCCAGTACTTTGCTAAGCAAGCTCTGTGGCATTGAGCCACACCACATCACTGACTAGCGTTTTTGTCTTGTCTGTTTGTTTATTGAAGCAGGGTCTCATATATCCCAGGCTGGCCTCAAACTTGCTATGTAGCTGAGGAGAATAAACTCCTTATCCTCCTACCTCCACCTCCCCATGCTGGGATTAAGGTGTATTGCACCACACCCAGTTTGACTAAACTGTTAAAGTTCTATTTGGGAAGCTAAAGAGATTGCTCAGTAGGCAAAGTACTTGTCACAAAAGTCTGACTACCTGAGTTCTATCCTCAGTACCCATACATAAAAAAGCCAGGAGCAGCACTTGGAGAGGCCTTGGGAGAAGATCCTCTAGGGCTTGCTGGCTAGCTAGGCTCTGAGTACAGTTAGAGACCCTGTCACTAAAAAGAAGGTAGAAAGCCATCAAGGAAGACCCAACCATCACATACATCTAGATCATCAGTGACGGTTCCCAGTGCCTGGCACATAGTAGGTACTCAGTAAATGTTTACAGAAATTAAAGTCTAAGCAGAACTACATTCAGTCTAAGATGTGTATACACAGGAATGCTCACAACACCCACAACCAGCAAGCAGACTCTCCACATGAGCACATGGACTGTATGGTATGTTCAGAACATTCTGGTGCTCTCAGAGCTGGCCATTTGCCACAGGTTACAGGTACAAGTAGACAACAAGGCAATACTTTCTCTCAGCCTTCCTTCATCTAGAGTCAAAAAGATCAGAGGACAGGGAGGGCAGAATCGTGTGAGCCCATCTGAGATGGAGGGATTCAGAAGCACCCCTGGGAAGGAAGCAATTCTTTTCCAGAGTTAGACATTTCTTTGTTGAAGCCCTAGTCATTGAGTTGAGGCAACAGCTCTAGACAGAGATAAGGAAGGTTAGCAGAGCATAGCTTGGATGACTGGCTGGGTGGGTGGTGGTGGAGGGGGAGGCTAGGGCAGGAGGTGCATGACCCACTTACCCCACAGGATTATCTCATCCCAGATGCTGACCTGGGGTGAGGAGATACCATTCCAGGCAGACCCAGCCCGCCCCGCTCGCAATCACAGATCCAAGCCTGAGCCACAAGAGCTCAAGCTGTGCCTTGGCTGTTCTCTACCTTTGCCTGTAGCGTTTCATTCTCAAGACTGTTGCCAGCTCTATTCTGCCGGGCTACCCATGGAGCCTGTTTACCAGTTTCTCAGTTTTTGCTTGTGCCCCTTGTTTCTGGCGAGAATGGACTTCTACTAGGGGCTTGGGGACTCACTCACCATAGCTTCAGGGGGCGATGTGGCTTCAGGGGGTGAGTGGGCTCTGAGCTTAGGCTGCTGCTTTGAGGAAGTATCTGTGGTTTCTGCTCCACTGGCTGACACATCAAATAGGGGCTGTTGGGGTGGGGAGGGCAGAGGAGGAAGGAGGCGGAGATGACCTGTCTGTCCCCTCCTTGTTCCTGCCTGCCTACTATTGTCCCCAAGCTCAGGTCAACATAGCTAAGCACTAATGCACACAGTTACTAGCCGTCACTAGCCTCTTGATTCCCTATTGTCCCCTTTACTCTTAAGACTTTGGGGTCTCCAAAGAAGCAGGCCAAGCCCAAATTCAGGACAGCCACAGGGACAGAGTACCCGAGTGGGGATGTTACAGTTTGCTCTGGGGCTTAGGAAGTCTCTGAAAAGAATTAGAGCTAGGATATGGCTGGTGCAATGGTGAGGACATATCTGTCGTCCTGTGTTGCTTCATCTACCTTCCTTGTTTCGATACATGTACTCTCAGCAGGACTTCCCTATTCAGGTAACAAATGCCCCACCAGCCAGGCCTGGGTGCCCCGCAGAAGGCTCAACTGGGATAGATTGGGGTAAGGTGGGATATAAGAATGAATGGCAGCAGATACTCAAAGATAGCACTGGTTGGAGGAGTGCACATTATAAGGCAAAGAGGAAGTCAAAAAAACAAAACAACAAAAAAACCCCGCTGGATAGACCGCATAAAGGAAAACTATGGAACCTTGGGTATGACAGCAGTGTCTAAGACTGCCCAGGATGGGAACAACTGGAGAACTGCCGAAAACGGGCCGCCCATGCGTGCTTAAGCATTGCCATTGATGATAATGTTAAAGATTTGCCACTGAGGTGAGGGAATATCATTGCCCCTGGGGAGGCAGGGGGTTTTAAGGACACATCAAGTTCCCAGTGGTTAAAGGAAGTAGAGGGAAGAAACCAGAAGACTGGGTTGCAGGAAAATGGAAACGGCCCTTGAGAGCCCAAAGAAGGACCAAGGGAGATACAAGTAAAGGAGAGTCCTGATGGCAAGATTCAGTCCACAGGAACAAAACACTCAGTAGAGATATGACTCTCAGTTTGGAAACAATAGAATTTCTTGAGCTGTTAAGAGAAGGATCTCTTCCAGAGACTGGCTTCACCTGTCTGGGATGTGGTCTGAATGGGAGGATTATTTGGGCCCTGGCAGGGTGATTTCAGTACACAGGTGAGTATAAGTGTGTTGATATCACTGGAGTCACCCTGATACAAAGCACATGTTCTAGGCCCCTGGGCAGAGGTGGGGGTTCTGTACATATCTAAGACTAGCCTAATCTATCCAGTGAGTTCTAGGCCAGCCAAAGCTGTATAGTGAGACCCTGATTCAAAAAAAGAAATGCCGGGTGGTGGTGGCGCACGCCTTTAATCCCAGCACTTGAGAGGCAGAGGCAGGTGGATCTCTATGAGTTCGAGGCCAGCCTGATCCACAGAGCAAATTCCAGGACAGCGAGGGCCACATAGAGAGCCCCTGTCTCAAACAAAAACCAGCACTTGGGAGTTTAAGACAGGAGGATCAGAAAATCCCATCGTTTGAGGCCATCATGGTTTACATAGTACCAATCCAGCAAGAGACACAGTGAGACCTGGTCTTAGAAACAACTTAAATGAATGTTTTGGCTTAAGTCTGCTATTGTGTGGTATGAGACTGGTAGGGTAGCAAGAACATGCTTAACTCTTGGGAATGGGCCAAACTGTCCAGGCAGGGAGACAAGCATCAAGATTCTGATGCCTCTGTATTTCCATACTGGGTCATAGTTCCCAGAGACTGAGCTGCTGCTATTACAGGAGTTTCAGGTGGACAGGGATAACCAAGTCTGGGTTTTTGAGTTTCCAGAACCATGGTGAGTGGAGTCAGTAGGGATATGAAAGAAGTCATGTCTATAATCCCAGCTACTTAGGAGGATGAGGCAGGTGGATTACAGATTCAGTTCAGGTTTGCTAATTGAGTGAAGACCCAGTCTCACATCAGAAAACAGTGGGCCAGTGAGATGGCTGGATGGTGGTGGTAAAGACACTTGCTGTGTAAGCCAGATGACCGAAGTTCGATTCCTGGAACCCACATGAGGTGGTGGGGAAGAAGCAGCTTCACAGCTGTCCTGTGTGTGATACACAACATACGCACACACAACACAAATGTACTGACCGAGAAACACACCATAGGCCATCAAAGCCAGCACAAGTGAAAGGCTTAAATGACAGCTGGTGATTCCCCAGGCTGTCCACTCTGGAGCCTGGGGGACTGAGCAGGGATGCATGCAAGGTGATCTGTAGGCTCCCAGCATGGCCGCCAAGGACCTCCCCACTCTATGTGGCCTGCATGACCGTGACCAGTTGGCTTGAACTCAACTATGGAGCCAGAAGCCTGAAATGATTGAGGGCCAAAGAAGTGATCACCGTGTGCCTGGAGCAGTCAGAGTTCTTTGAAGGAGAGGCTGCAGCCCAGGTTGCTGAGATCTGCGAGCTGGGACCCAGGACCATGGCCACTTTTCACCTCTTTCAGCTAGGGTAATGATAAGCAATCTGGTATCACTCAGGTGACAAAACTGGCTGGATAATTGCCTAGCAGTAGCCAGGCACCACCTTGCCCTGCAGACAAGTCTCCAGGAGTTTGCTCAGTCTGTTCAACTCAACCTCTGCCTCTGAGCTGCTCAGGCAGAATACCCTGTAGGGTCCCAGCTTGAGGTAGGGAATTATGGGAGTTATGGGGGTGGGGTGGGGAGGAGGCGAGGATGTTTAGCAAAGCTTTCAGAAGAGCAAAGGTTGGTTATGTGAAAAGCAGGGAGGATAATAGGCTAGTGGTTTGGGCAGGGAATGGGGTGTGGGGAAGTTCTATAGTTTCCTGGTATCTGTCCCCAGTACTCAGTTCCTGGGACAAGACTCACTGAGCAGACATTCCCAAATCTAGCCTCTCCAAAGTGCGAGCATTATGACATCCACTTTATTGTGTGGGTGGGTGTATGAATCTGTGCTTATGTTTACAGAGGCCAAAGGTTGCCATCAGGTGTCTTCCTTTATTCTCCAACTTAGTTTTTGAGACAAGGTCTCTCACAAAACCTGACACCCACTTTTTGGCTAGCCTGGCTGGCCAGGAGGTCCCAGGTCTGTCTCTCCACTTCCCACCAATCACTTGCTATTTATTCTTTTACTTTTGTTTAATAAATTCACTTATTCAAAACCAGAAGTATGGCTGTTGTATTTCATTCTCTAGAGCCTACAAGCAGTGAAGTTGGGTAGAGAAGACAGGACTATGACAGTGATGTAGGGCCTGGAGGACCCAACTCATTGGGTGCTGGGAATCTGAACTCAGATCTTGGTTGTACCTAGTATAACATCTCTCCAACCCCCAAACAGGAGTCTTTATCTAGATAGTAGTAGGTCCCACTGAGGAGGACTGGGGAAAGACTGCTTCCACAGGAACTCTGATGGCCTGGCATATTGTGTGTGTGTGTGTGTGTGTGTGTGTGTGTGTGTGTGTGTGTTATGTATTCCATACGTAGCTAGGATGACCTTGAATTTCTGATCCTCCACACTACTCCCCAGTTCTGAAATGAATGCCTCCACCAGCACTGCTGGTGTTGGTGCTGGGGATAGAACCCATAGCTTTGTGCAGACTAGGCAAGCACTTACTGAGCTACATCTCCATCCTTGGTATTCTTAAACAGGAACCTCCAACTCTCTAGAGCTGGGACTGGGGCAGACAGCAGCACCTGGGGCAGAAGGGGGTCTGCAGATGAAGATAAAAGTTCAGTTTTGGTGGTGCACGCCTTTAATCCCAGCACTCAGGAGACAGAGACAGGCGGATCTCTGTGAGTTCAAGGCCAGTCTGGTCTACAAGAGCTTGTTCCAGGACAGGCTCTAAAACTACAGCGAAACCCTGTCTCAACAAAACAAAAAAAATCTTTTTGGGCTGGAGAGATGCCTCAGAAGAGCACAGGCTGCTCTACCAGAGGTCCTGAGTTCAATTCCCAGTAACCACACGGTGGCTCACAACCATCTATAATAAGGTCTGGTTCCCTCTTCTGGCCTGCAGGCATATATGCAATCAGAACACTGTATATAATATAACTAAATAAGTTCCCCATCCAGTTCTGCCTACCCCACAACCACAGCCACCAAGGCTTTTTTTACTCCTGTGAACCCCTTGGTCTCAGAATCATATCTAATATACGATAGCTCAGAGCTTACTCAGATCTAGCTTTCCACAATGCCTTCCTAACTCTTGATATTAAAAAAAACAATTTTTTTGAGATGGTCTTGCTATGTAGCCCAGGTTGGCCTTGAACTTAAAAAAAAGAAAGTGATCCTCCCACCTCTGCTTCCTAAGTGCGCCATGCCTTGGAGCTTTTTTCCCCCTTGTTTTACTGTGTAGCTTGGCTGGAACTTGCCACTTTTTGTTTTGTTTTGCTTTTGTTTTTTCGAGACAGGGTTTCTCTGTGGTTTTGGAGCCTGTCCTGGAACTAGCTCTTGTAGACCAGGCTGGTCTTGAACTCACAGAGATCTGCCTGCCTCTGCCTCCCAAGTGCTGGGATTAAAGGTGTGGCCACCAGGCTTTAGGAGGACAACTTTAGAGTTGACTTTCTTTCCTACCTCACTTCACACTGTCGTCATTATCAGGGTTGCTTGTGCAAGCACTTGAACATGAGCCGTCTTACTAGTCCCGTGTTTTATTTTTAAAGATGGCTTTTGATGAACTAGCCCTGTATAAACTCAGAGATCTGCCTGCCTTTGCCTGCTTTTTTTTTTTTTTTTTGGTTTTTAAATAAAGGAAAACAACTGAAAATTCTTTCTTATCTGGTTTCTGGAAGTTGTGGAACAGAATGGTGGGCACTGTCTGCCCCTACCTGTAGCTGGCTAGGGTGGCAATGATCTGGAGACCTGGATTCCAGGGCTGAGGTGCCAGGCAGTGACAAAAGTATTGAGGAAGATCAGGTTCTGTGAAGCCACTTCTAAGTCCCCTCCCCTGGTGTGTTAGTACCCTGGACCCAGTCAGTAGGTGGCAGCCTACTGCTTATTTGACGGGAGGGCAGGAGACTCAAGCTTGGTTTCCAGCACCCACAAGTGCCTGGGGATCTCACACCCTTTTCTAATCTTCATGGGCATCACACTCACATTTACACACACACACACACACAATAAAAACAAAAATCTTATCTGAGGGGCAAGGGACCTAAGACACAGCACAGGACCAAAGACAACTCCTTTATTTTCCCCTCCCCCCTCAAATTACAAAAATATCTGCAGGCTCTCCCACCCAGGCCAACACAGCTGGTTCAGAACTGTGAAAAAATGGGACGCTCCCCCTCTGACAGTTGTGACACCGCAGGAGCAAATGAGATTGGGTCTGTGTGGTGCTGAGGAGGCGGCCGCTGAGCCTGGGCCTCACCTCTTGCCTCGGGCTTCATGCTGAAGCATTCCTCAGCCTTACCTGCCCGGGCATCGGCACGGAGGGACCCAGGCACCAGGTCTGTGGGGGGTGTTGGGGCGGTGGTCCTGAAGGTGCAGTGTCATGGTAGGCCATGAGGCCATGGAGAAGTCACACTGCGTGCACAAGTAGTAGCAGCCACGCGTGTGTTCCCACACGATGCGGCTGGGGGCCACGTACCTGCTGGCAGGCAGGCCGTGGTCAGTCCTGGGTTCCACCCCAGAGGACCTTTCCACAGGGATGGTGGATGTCGGCCAGGGCAAATTAGACTTTTCCCTACGTTCGTCCCCCTCAGTTTCCAGGGTCCAGGGAGTTGGGTCCTTTCTCCTGGGCTTGACTGCCAATCACTGAAGGCACCAAGTTTGGCTCCCATCCCTGGACCTCTGCAGGATAGGACCACTCAGATACGGACAAGGCGCAAGTTTTTACACAAGGCCGACGCAGATGAAGGTATAGGTGCCAGGCATTTGAAAGGTATAAATCATGTATTTCAAAGGACACGCACTGCTGCTTCCGGGCATTCACAGGGCCGGCGCAAGGCCCAGGAATGAAGGCCCCTCCACCCTGCCCTGGTCGTCACCTGCATGCACCTGAGGGCGCATCTGAGCCGCCCTGAGGTCTTCTGGGACTTCCAGTAGCACCTGCAGGAAAGAGGCAGGTAAATAAAGGTGGGCCCAATCAGCCTTGCAGGCAACTGGTTCTCATACTCACCTTGACTCTTTCTCCAGATGGCAGTGCTGGAGGCTGGAGGTCCTGGATCAGCAGCCAGGAATGGGCGCAGTCGCGGGGGACTCAGTCCAAAGGGCGCAGGGTTCAAGTAGGGAAGGAAGGGCCCAGTGGGGGCAGAGGTGAAAGGCTCAAGTAGAGGGAAAGGCAGGCTCAGAGTAGATGAAGGGTCGGAGTCTGTGGGGCGCTCGGGCACGGGTGGCTCTTTGTCCAGGGCAGGGGGTGGTGGTGGGACTGGGCTCTGAGCATGCTCTGCACAAACATGCAGGTGCTTGAAGAGGGAGCGGTAAGTGCGGAAGCGCAGGAGGCAATTCTCACACCTGGGGGGAGACACAGGGCTGAACTGTCTCCTGGGCAACAATAGGAAGAGGTCTAGCCACTGCTACCTAGGGACCAGGATGTGGGAAGGGTATCTAGGTTGAAATTTCTGTGACTCTGTGCCCTTATGGAAGTCTTGATCCTTCCCGACCTCTCCAGCTCAGAGCCTCAAGCTCTGACTTTCCTTGGGCAGCCAGTTTTCCATATAAGAAGTGAGAGGGAACAGGACAGAGCCACAGCATGTATACCCTGCCACTCCAGCTGATCCTTGTCAGGGCGACTTACTCTCACTCACATCCTCCATGCACTGCTGGGGTTGGTTATGTCCCAACCTGCCCCGCCCCTCCTCCACACAGACTAGAAAGGGACCAACAGAGCAGAAGGTCGAGGTCTCACTTGAAGTAGCGGTTGGGCTTGTAATGTAGCTTGCCGTGGGCCACCAGCTCCTGCATGCTGGGGAAACTCTCAGTGCAGCTCAGGGCTGAGCATCGGAAGAGTTTGCCTGGTAGAGATGAAGGGCAGGTGTGGAGTGGGGTGGTTAGGACTGACCCTGGGGGGGGGTCCTCTGTCTCTTCCACCCTAACCTGCCTACCTTCCAGTGATTGTGTGGGCGGGCAGTGGGTACGGAGATGCTGTGCCAGATCACGAATACTGGGGAAACTGAGGCAGCAGCCAGGGCTAGAGCAGGGTATCTGTTTTCCTGTGGAATAAATGGGTGTCATCAATTTTTCATTATTGACCCCCCATTCTCAAAGCCTTGAACAAGTTCCCCTTCCCTCACTACTAGAATAAATTGCCTGGAAAGGCTGGTTAGGTTTGACTGCTACACCTGAAAAGCCTTGATGCTCAGTAAATGGTAAGGAACCCCCTAGATGGGATACAAGGTAATTCCTGATCCTGCACCATCTCAGTCCTACCCGACGGACCTATGAAGGCTCCATCACAGATCACCTGGTGGTGGACGTCGTCTGGGCAACCTCAGGTCCTCATTGGTCCCCACAGCTGTGCTGGTTGAGCCCGGCTGGCAGGTGTCTGGGGCTGGAGCGGCGACCTGCTGCGGAGGTCCTCCACGGTCCCACACTGGTGGTATGGGTGTCGGGTTAGGGCCTGGCTCCTCCACGGAGGAGAATGTGGCTGTCGCTACCGCATCTGGAGACGCCACCTCCTTGTCGGGCTCACTAGAGCTGGACTCTGCAGTGGCTAGCATGTCCGGGCTGGGCTTGGACGGTTCCTCCTGGTGCAAGAAGTGGCTAGAATAAGGCTGGGATCAGAGTCTGCCTAGGACAGAGGGAGGTCTTTCCATTCCTAAGGCCCACAAAACTCGGGGTTTCTAACTCCCTCTCACCCCCGCCAGATATTACCCAGCCATTCCACTTTCTGAGTCACCAGCAAGATGAGTTACGGGAGGTGAGGGCAGACTGAGCTACTGTCTCCTAATTTCAGTTGCAGAAGAAAGTATATATCAGGGATTATGCATAGAAGAGCATCGTTAACATCCCTTCTCCAACTTTGACAGGAGGAAGGCACCATGGGCGGAGGCGTGGCCTAGGAAAGTGGGCGAGGGTCCGGCCTGGGAGCAACTTGGAAAATGCTGCAGGGCCTACAAAGCTGGCAGAGCTCGGGCAGAGTGGGCGTGGCCCAAGGGGCAGTCAGCGGCGGGCGGGGACCCGGATATAGGGGCGGGGCTGGTTGGGGGGTGCGCGCCGCAGGGCCGCTCCCTGTCAATTCCCGCTGCTCCTCCGTGCCCACGTGCCGGATGCCACACTCACCATCCTCCCCTCAGCTCGACCTCCGGTTCGGGTGCCTTCGGTGGCTCCGGCTCCAGCAGCGGCGACTTCTTCGGCGACGCGGGGTCTCGATCACGACGGCGCCATTTTTTCCGCTCCTGAGATCTCGCGAGATCTGGGGTGTGGCCTAATCCTGAGCCTCCTAGGAGGAGGGGGCCGGCACTAGCCTACTGCGCCTAGGGAGGGGGCTTTTGTATCAGTGACTGCAAAAGTGGAAGTAAAGCTCCTATCTGAGAAATCTCTCCAGGCCCTAGCGTCCTTGCCTGCAAAATGAGCACCTCCATGCTTTCCCTGTATGCCCCAATGACCAACTCTGGAAGGGCGAAAAGCAGTACTTTTTCTTCTTTTTGTATACCAGGTCAGGTTGACTTCAGACTTTCAGTCTTCCCACCTCAGTCTGTCAGACGAGCGTTCCCATACTGTTTGCTTTTAATTGGTTTACTTTTCATTGAAAATTGACAACAGCTCCCCACTACCACCTTATTATTGTTGTTGTGAAAGACTCTCAAAGAGGTCCTTCTCTCGGGAGGAGACCTCCCCGACGCCAAGGAACAGGCCGAGACCACACGGATGCAAATCGCAAGAGGTTTATTGGGTAAACACAGGTACCTGCGGGCGGCAAGATCTCTCAGAAGACTTGCGAGCCTGCCGACTGGAAGGCGGGCTTTTTATAGGGAAGAGCAAAAAGCAAGTTTACAGAAGCAAAAGCGTGGTTATCGGAATGAGGCAGAGGCATGAATGGTTTCCTCTCCCAGCATGGGTGTCAGCAACAGTCATCCTGTTCCTATCTTATAGATATCCTGTTTTGCAGTCAACCTGCTTTGCTGATGTCCTATCTTATTGATATCCTGCCTTGCAGTCATCCTATCTCATAGACTTCCTGCTCTCCTAAGCAAATGGAATGTTCTTATGAGAGCAGGCTGGCTGCTGATCTGAGAATTTTTCAAGCAAACAGGGCGTTTCCCCGGGAGTATGCTAGCTGCGTGTTTTGAGGAGGGGGTCTGTAGGGTCTTTCATTTCCCCCTTTTTCTTTTTATTATTGAGTTAAATCTTTTACTCAAAGCAGTTACAGAACCTCGGTTTCTTGTTGTGGTAACATGTGATACTGATGGGTCAGTACTAGGGCCTGAATGACTGGCAGCCTGTCTTTTATAAACTGGACCAGGCGGTTTAAGATGCAGGGCCCAAACAGGAGTATCAGAAGGAGGATAATCAAGGGACCCATCAAAGAAGACAATAGAGTTGTAAACCAGGGAGACTTATTAAACCATCCTTCGAACCATCCTTGTTGTGATTCGAACAGCTTTTGTCTCTGTCTTAACCTCTCTCTAAGCTTTGTCATATTGTCTCTCACCAACCCAGTGTGGTCCGCATAGAAGCAGCATTCCTCTTTGAGTGCCATGCATAACCCTCCCTCTCGCAAAAACAACATGTCTAGCCCCCTCCTGTTTTGTAGGACTACCTCTGAGAGGGAGGTTAATGATTTTTCAAGTGTGCTAACCGATTCTTCCAGCGCCTTGATATCAGTATGCATGGCTGCCTGAAGTTGTCTAAATTGGCTGGTCTCCATAAGAGCTGTGGTCCCTGTGCCTACCCCCCCGCCCCCCCCCCGTGATGGCAGCCATATCCTGGGAATGGTTCCTGATCTGAGGGGTTCCAGGACTCTCCCACCAAATCACAAAGGTCGAAGTACAGGGTTGGGAAAGCATCCGTCATCGTTCCCAACAGTTGTTATTATTATTATTTGTCTGGGTTGTTCTTACCTTGAACTTGGATGCTCCCACACTGGGGTTCGGGTGGTACTAGGTGTTGAAGCCAGAGTTTTCCTGTGTGCTAGGCAAACACTCCACACACTAAGCTACATCCTTAGAGATACACAGATACATATGCAGGTGAATCTAGGTGTGCACAGATGGGAGCCTCCATATGGAGGCCCACAGTAAACATTGCCTTCCTCAGGTGCTCTGCCCTTCATTTACTGAGGCAATGTCTGTTACTGAAGCTAGAGCTCACCAGTTCCCACTGGTGTAACTTTCCAGAAGATTCTCTGTGTCCACCTCCCAAGCGCCCCAATTACAGGTAACTGCTATGTCTTCCACCCAAGGAGTGCCAGGGATCCAAATTCTCCCTCATTTTCATGAATTCTGTGAGCATGAACCCTGATCCCTCATGTCTGCACAGAACATTCTTCCTAGCAAGTTTCGAATTTTTCAGTGCATCCAAGTGTGTAGTAAGAATGTATCTGTTGGGGCTCAGTAGTTAAGAGCACTGCTGCTCTTCCAGAGGACCCGGGTTCAGTTCCCAGCACCCACATGGCAGCTCACACCTGTCTGCTACTCCTGTTCTAGGAGATCCAATGCCTTCACATGGATATACACGTGGGCAAAACACCAATGTACATAAAAATGAAAAACATGAATAAATCTGTTGTAATAGCCTAATTCAGAACTGTGGACCTCAGGTTTAGTGAATAGGTAAATCCCACAAGTAGCAAGGTGTGAACATGAATCCCAAGTGCATTGGTGTCTTGCAATGAGGTTTCCCGCCCATCCTACTTCTCGTAAGTGCACACTCGGTGCCAGGAAGGGACAGCAGTGCTGCTCTTGGGAGGCTGGAGTCAGCCACTGGACACAGTGACAATAACAACAGCAGAGAGACCTGATCTTGGATCTGCCCCACGAGATAAGAAAACAAACAACAGAAGTACTATGGAGCCCATGAGTCAGGGAAACTGGCTGAGGGGCCTGGAGCTGAGCCTTGATACCTGGGAAAGCTGAGCACTCCAGAAGCTGGCAAGGAACAAGTTCCCCTTTGTTGGGCTACAGTGAGGAGATCTCTCCACTGTGCAAACAGAATGAAGACGTGGTGTGGAAGCCAGGAAGAGAACTTGGGTAAGTCCTGTAGGCCCCGTGAGAGGTGGAAACGTGAGAAAATGTGGTTTCTGATCTGTCACTGATGAATATTATTTTCCCATTTTCATGTGTGGGTGCATGTGTATGTGCATGCGTGTTAGTGAAGGGGTTTCATGCGGGTACATGTGCACACGTGTGTGGGTACATGTGTGTGGGCACATGTGTACCTGGTTGCTTATACATGTGAAAGCTGGAGGTTCGTGCAGTGACTCTTCTTCCATACTCAGTGAGACAGAACCTCTCGATAGAACCCAGATCTCAGCAGTATGGCTAGTCTTGCTCTGGGGATCCTCGGCCTCGATCATCTGAGGCTGAATTACAGAGAGGCCGTAGTGTCTACCTGGCATTTACCTAATATCTGGGGTTCAGAACTCAGGACTTGATGCTTCTGTGGCAGGTGCTATTGTGTGACAAATACCTTTTCTAGGGACACACAAACATGTTCACTCACCTTAGATAGGGAGCCCACCTTGGTGAACCAAGAGTTTTTCTGTGGTTACTTATAGGAATATGTGTGAGGGGTTACTCAGAGAAGCAGAAATGAGTCAAAGACAGCGGCGTCACCAAAGCCCACCCCTTAATGCGTGACAGCGCACAAAAGCCGGAACCCTGGAGCACACTGGAGCAGCTCAGCAGGGTGGAGGATGTCCTTTCCAAGTGACTTAGTTGCAGCACGCCACTCCCGCCAGCAGAAGAGATGACCGCAACAGGATTCTTCTCAGAACATATTTTATTGGAGCACTTACACTTGAGGTTGTAAAGAGGCAAAAGACCCCGTCCCCTTGACGCAGAAGAATATATACGGTGCCAGACAAAGCCCTGACGTGTCATCAACCCAATGGTTCAGGCCAGAATGGAGTGATTGTGCCAGATTATGATTGGTCAGATTGGATGGCCAGATCGAAAGACTCCCCGCGCTGGGGGGAGCTTGCGCACATGCGCACAAGTTGTCTGTCAAGCTTGAAGTGGAACAGTAAACGGTTCCCAGGCTCCGTGCCCCCGACATGACATCGCCATGGTGCACGCTACATCTCTGCGTGCTACATCTCCGCGCGCTACACTTAGTTGGTCTAAACCTCTTCTAGACAGCTGGCGGCTCCGAGTCTTATTTGCAGACTGACTTTTGTGAAAGTGAGTCTCAGCAACCTGTGCTGTTTACTCTGGCAGGTGAATTTGGTCAGTTTCAGGGACGTTCTGAAGCTGTTTTGAATTGGGACGTTCTGAAGCTGTTTTGAATTGTTGACCTCTGGCTTTAGGCGTTTTCCCTGCCGGGTGGGGGAATGGGACAGCTAGTTAACTGGGGGAGGCACAGCATCTCCTTCTGGTGATCATTTGGAGGATGGGTTTTGGGGTAGTTGATAAAGTAGTATTTAGATCCCAGATCCTTATGCATCCAAGCTTTCAAGAGATGTTTATTGAGTCATAAACAACTGTAGACGTTATATGCAGCATATTTCTAGATAAACTAAGAGTCTGTATGTGCCACTAAGAAGATGGTTAAAAAACATTTAGGAACTGAGAAAGATGGGGGCTGGAGAGATGGCTCCAAGGTTGAACTCTTGCAGAGAACCCAAGTTCACATGGCTGCTCACAAATATCTCTAACTCCAGTTCCTGAAATTGGCATGTCTTCTGCTGGCACTTGTACTCACTCAGAAACACACGTACATATAGACAAATAATAAAGTAAATTAAACTTGAGAAAGGGGTTGGGGATGCCATTTACTTAGTAGACTGCTTGGCTCCCATTCACAAACCATAGGTTTGTCCCTAGAATCACAGAGACCTTCTGTGGTAGGCGTGCTTGTCACCCCAGCACCAGTAGCAGAGCCGAGAAAGTCAGGAAGGCAGGGTCATCTTCCGCGATACGTATAATTCAATACTATTCTGTGCCACGTGAGATCCTGTCTCAAAAAAGTAAAACAAGCCGGGCGGTGGTGACACACGCCTTTAATCCCAGCACTCGGGAGGCAGAGGCAGGCGGATCTCTGTGAGTTCGAGACCAGCCTGGTCTACAGAGCTAGTTCCAGGACAGGCTCCAAAGCCACAGTGAAACCCTGTCTCGAAAAACCAAAAAAAAAAAAAAAAAAAAACCTAAAACAAGCCAGGAATGTTTAATCTTTAATTCCAATATTTGGGAGGCAGAAGCAGTCTCATCTCTGCGAAAGGTCTGCCTTCTTTACATAAAAGTTCCAGGCTAGCCAGGGCTACTAGTGAGAACATATCTCATAAACAAACAAACAAACAAACAAACAAACCAGAAATCTCCAAGTAACACCTCCCCCAACAATAACAAAAAATTCAAGAGGAGGCCCAAGGACAAAGCACAGTGCAGGAATTAAAAGTGGGTCACCACGCTCAGCCTCTTCAGAGTCTTTATTACTGGGATCACAGGTGGAGAGATGGCTCAACATACAAACAAAACACTCATACACCTAAAATTTATTTTTGAAAACAGAAACAACCAGACAGGGTCTCCCGAATTGGCCAACATACAGAGAATAAGAGACTGTTGAATAGTCAGCTCTAAATGGCACCTGTATGTTGTACCTCTCCCTCCAGGGGTCATCTTCTCAGAAGAAATATCAGAAAGAGCGTAGGAATCAGAGATGGAAGGTAGCATCAAGGGAACAGTGCCCCCTGGTAGGTTGACCACACACCAAGGCCCCATTTCCAAGAATAAAGCGACAATACAAGCTAGAATCGATGGGGAAATTCAAGAAAAGAAAGAAAGAAAAAAATCTTCAGGTTTATTTGACATGGATGGTTGTGAGAGCAGCTGGAGGTGTTGGTGGATATGTTCAAAACATGTGTGTGAAATTCGCAACTGTGTAGCCGAGGATAACTTTGAAGTGCTGGGATTGTAGGTATAAAACCACAACATTTGCTGTATGTCGTACTGGGGACCCAACCTGGGACTTTGTGCATTTAGCCAAGCACTTGACCAGCTGGCCTGGAGTCCCAGCCTCTCTTTGTTGCAAGGTGGAGAGGTGTGTTTATGCTGGGAAGGAAGAAGGGGTGAGGCTGAGGAAAGAGCAGCGCCACAAGGAAGCGGGTGGAGGGGCCGGATGTAAGACATTTTGTGAAAGAACCCACAGGATGTGGGAGCTGACGACTGGGTGGGTTTGAGGTAACAATGGTTCACAGTTTGGAGCTGTCCCTAACCTAATTTATCCAGCCCCAGTTTTTTTCTCCAGTTCCAGCACCCTGTCCAACAGTTAGCTGGTTACCCTTCTCAGGAGCCTCCCTTCCTCTAGGTGGTATCCTCCGTGCCAGTGCGGGGCCAGGGCTTGAAAGGAAAGAGTGAAAACCCCTTCTGCCTCCTCTTTCTTTCTTTTATGTAGCTCAGGCTGCCCCAAAATGACTTTGCACTTTTTTTTTTTTTTTTTTTTTTTTTTTTT